ACATATTTCAGAGATCCCACTCTTTCTACGAGAGACTCGAGTCTCTCAATTTTTCAGTTTTATTCATTCAATCTCTCTGCGAGAGACTCGAATCTCTGAATTAACAATTTTATCGTTCGAGTCTCTCATACAGAGACTGTGAGAGATCCATAAAAACACCTAGGCAATAACTGAGCGACTGTGAAAGACTGTGAGAGACGCTTTCAGAGACGCTAAAAGACTCTCAGAGAATGTAGAGAAACTGAAAATTTTTGTCTAGGGAACACGCACATTTAGATTCAACATTTTTGTTTGTGCTCAGTACCTACCTTATTAATGGTATAAGATTTATTACACTGATTTCATAATAATTACATATCGAAAAGAAGTACCTGTGTAAATAAAAGTAATTAAAGTTTCAATGTTTAGTTATTAATATAATAATACTTGTTTCACTTACCTAACATAATTACCTGCAAAAAGGGTGCAATGGTATTTTATTTATTAAATTATTGTTACTGCTGCTGCTTATGTCAGGAAAGAAGAGTTTAAATAAAAGGCAAAAGTGTAATTTTGTCAAATTGATAAAGATTTTTGCAGTCATTTCGTGAACTTATGCTGTCTTGATTCGGGTCGAAAGACAGTTATCGGTCGGAATTACCTCCTAACATTTCGCTAACACAAACGCCAAAACTTCAGAGGTCCTTCCAACTCCGACAGTCCACATCCAGCATGGAGTCTGGAGTTTTGTTTTCGTTATTTTAACTTTTTGGATATTTATGTTATTACAAAGAATTAAAGTGCATAAGCCATACATTATTTATTGGCTGATACTAAAATCCAACCTTTTAAGAAATGAACTTGTTAATTAGGGATTCTCAAAATGATACAAAATCGCGTATTTTCATGCATGGGATTACACTTCAGCTGGGAGTATTAAGAGTAAATTATACTCACAGGGATTCATTTTTATGGACCATAAAGTGTTTAACTGTCTCATGAAATGGACAATAAACTGCTTACTTATCTTCCTGTTACGACTTGTGAAAATAGGTGTCGTGTATCCACAAAAGTAGCAACAGCCCTTTCAAGAAAAACGTTTGAGATGAAAACAATACACTGTACCAAAAGAATGGACACTTTTACATGCAACTCGAATATACCAATTTCCAGTGAACACGAAAACAAAGGTTATGTATCATCATCATCATCATCATCATATCAGGTCATCAGTCCTAAGACTGGTTGGATACCTACCTTCACTCTTTCCTATCCTGAGATAATCTCCGTTTTTCCCTAAAATTAGATCATCCCACATCTTTAACTATTTGCGAACAGTAATCTAATCTAGGTCTACCTTTTCTCTTAAGTCCTGTTCTGCCTCTAATATGTCTCTGACTAGACCTTCATGTCTGAGAAGGTGTCCAACCAACTTGTTTAAAGCTATGTATAGTTACCAAATATTTATAGAAAAATCCGTACAGTTATTGCTTCAGGAGGAAGAATAACTGGTCATGAGTTTCAAATAGAGTAACTTGTTCTTCCAGTTGTAGAAACAACTGTTGAGTGAAGTAATAAGTATTATAAATTTTTCATTAAATATTTTGTACGTTAATGTGTTTCAGTTAAAATCAGTTCAAACCAATTGGTACCTACTTGTGAGTAGTCCTGCGTCTTAACAACAAATAATAACTAATCCTAGTAAAACTCGGCTATGTTTCTCTAACTTTTTTAATATTAACACAACAACAATAGTTTCTATCGAAAGCCATTATCAAGATTAACAATACTACTCTACAATAATAATAAAGTTTGTAAAAATGATGCCCAAGAGATACATTAGAAAAGTGTTATCACTGAACTAACTCGAATTTTTTGATTTATTTAAAACAACGTTGATGTCCGGACAGGAGCGTCTCACTTTAAAATAAATTTAATAAATGAAGATTTTGAGATTTCGGTTACTTTAGGACGATTTTCGGATAAACAGATGATATTTTCAGATAGATTTGGTATAAAAAGACAGAATATCGACAAAACAAACGTGTAATTCGTATAGTTAATACAATTTCTATCTCATGTTTTCTACGGAAAAACTCCAGAAAAAAATTATTTATTGTTATGGCGCGTATTTTAGTCAGGGGCTTGCATACTAGAATTTATTCAGAGTAGTCTAGCAACAGTAACACTTATGGGATTCCTTAGGCAAAGGACTCCTATTCAGGTCGGAACGGTAACGTATTTAAAAAGTATATGGGATTCCGGGACTTGTGCTGATCAACCCTATCGTAACGTTCTGTGTAATTCAATTTATTAGCATTATTCCCAACCGAGACATGAAAAGAGCCTTGCAAAGAAGATTCCGCACCACAATGCTGTTCGTGTGTTCGTGATTAATATATTACTTTACAAAATATCCAAAATAGATACCTTAGAGCCAAGGATACTAGAAAGGAGCAATAACAATAATTCCGAAGCGAATGGGTTTAAAAAACATTAAAAGAAGTAATAAAGACCAAAAAATGCTATCATCATTTTCGGTACTATCAGTAGTCAAATACATAATATCCTTGCCTACGCGCAAATCGGATGCGCACTGCCTTACTGCGCAATGGACGATCGAGAACAGCTGGCACCGTACATTAAATAAGTCACCCGATTTATTGTTTTCAGAAACTAAACTACAAAAAACTTCTTAACACATATTACGGCACTGGAATCCACAATAGATCTCAGACATTGACACACCCTGAAACGTTCCCCAAAAAAAGCTGAAACAAAATATCACTTTTTTATTTATGACATCACATGTTTGCGTTTGTGACAGTTTATCTATTATTTAAAAAGCCATTGGCGCTGAGAAAGGCGAATTGAAAGACGTCAAGTTGGAAATTTGAATGAACTTTGTATTGTCTCCCAGTTTTACGACACTAGATTTTTAAGGCTTACGACCGCCCCCGTCGTATAAAAAGGAAGAGACGGGGGTGAAATCCCGGCGAGCTTCGCTTTAATTTGATTTTCTGATACGTTGAGACAGCTTACATGAATCAGCTTGTCAAGTCTCGACATGCCCAGCCCAGACTGTGAGTTGGTCGTTAGTTTAGCACAACGTTTTGTTTTAATAACGCGCGCCCTATGAATCTATGAGAATAAATCTTGATCATAACTTCACCAAATTTCGTTCGTAAATTTATTATGCGAACGATGGAACGGGATGTTTTACATAATACAAGTTCATATTTAGTAAACTGTAAATTCAATTTTTATGCAAGACGGTACAAAAAAAAATTGAGATTAATGTTCTACTTTACACGGTGACGGTGTTCATATAATTCCTTTTACATTAAAATGTATGGCATATGTTTTGAGAACCGAGTGGAACTGACGTCAAATAAGTTTACTCATTATGTCATCATCATAAGGTCGTCAGTCCTAAGACTGGTTAGACACGCATTTCTACCCTTTCCTATCCTGAGCCAATCTTCGCATTCCCCTAAAACTAGAACTCCCACATTCTTAACTATTTGCGAGCAGCAATCTAATCCAGATCTACCTCTACTCCTCTTACTGCCTCTAATGTGTCTCTGACTGGAACTTCATGCCTGAGAAGGTGTCCTACCAACCCACCTCGTCTAATTCTTATTAACATTCACAGAATCCTATGTTCTCCTATTCTTTCTAATACATCCTCATTCATAGGTATAAATATCCGAAAATATGTATTGTTAGTACACTAAACACATAGGTATTATCATTCGCCAATTTGTGTCAAATCAATGGAAATGATAGCAACAAGTGTTTGCCAGTCCAGTAATCTAGCCTCGGTTGGATTTAGAAGTGTCTCAATTGAATCAAACTGACGTATGATAATTACCATACAGGTAGTAGAATTAGAGTAGGCAAACTCATCGGAAATGTGTTTCTTAAAAGAAACGAACAGAAACCAAAGAGTCCTCTACTGTAGTCCGAGCTCGTTTTGCTTTGATCATGCATGCTTTATATCCAACTATGTCGATCGATTAACAACCCCATTAAATAAAACCAGAGAAGGTTCCACTATTTTTCACCTTACAGCTCACCGGAGCATTCAAGGCAGCATGGGGCTTGCATACTGTAACTATATAATCTCCATAGAGAGTATTCATGTATTTAATGTCCACGAGGTTGATGCCTTATTAGTCAACTCCTTAGTATTGTAACTACTAAAATAATGACAGTTAAAAATGAAATGTCGAACTAAATACCACTTCAAGCAACTGTCATTTCATCTTGCCCTAATCCCTCTGCATGTCATTGTATGAAAAAATTGATATGGTGAAGTAAAAACTTCGTTCTTCACTTTTGAAAATCGAATTACTTTTAAAATTTACTGTTAAATGACATACATGAACTGGCTACCATGGTAAGATGCCTACCATTTAATTATTGCCCACGGCGCTCTTCCAATTCCAGCCTGAGTACTATCCTGCTACTAATTGTAATGTGTTCAATGGTACTGTTGATTTTCAAAATATGTAACATCTTATTCAGTAACAATTAAAAATAAATTGCAAAACCTAAATAATTGCTTACAGTTACCTTATTTGTTACACATTTTCAATAATATTCATTAAATTCAACTAGTGTTTTCAAGGACTTTTAATTAAATAATTATCATACAATACCTGAATATATTTNTGGGGGCTATCATCTAGACATTTACCCAGTATTTTTTTTAATTAATTAATTAACCGATGTCAAAACATTAATATCCTAAAATAAAAATTAAAATCCATACAGTCCGTATGGTTAACAAAATGAACAGAGTAGTGATTCACTTTGAGATAATGATATTATCTTGTACATAATTTTTCCAATGTAACACATGCAAAAAATCGAGGCAGTAATCGCTCGATATGTTATTCGGTCATCGGGTCAGTAATATCGGAACAGTCGTAGGTATAAGGAGTATGTTTAGTTGTTTCATAATCGCCGTATACGCCAACGTGTATGAAGTTTCACCAATTTTAATTTTGTTTTAGTTTCTATAGTACCTACTTCAGGATACGTGAACGCCGAAACAATTCCAACTTCCTACAAAGTCAACGTACATCAACGCTAAGATTGCGAAGGATCGTTGGTAAGTGGCTACTATATATATTATGTACATTAAATAGCCGATGTTATACATGGGCTATTTACACTGTTTTATACTGCTGCTTTTTATTTTGAATTGGAATTGTTTTTGAGAATTTACATTACATTGAAACAAACAAACTAAGAAACAACAGTGCTCATAGGGACTTTACTATAAATGTAATTTAATCTACGATTATTTTACTGTTGATGCTTTCTTATAATGCATCGTATATAAATATGCTCATGGTGATGCTTATCTAAACTAAATCTGATATCCTAATCAGTATTAAAATCCTTTATTTAAAATTAACTTCTAGTGGTTTTTGTATTCCGAAAAACATGTTAAATTTATGTATCTTTTCTTCCAAATATGTTCTTCTTTTTTCATTTATCATTTGACAATGATCATTGTCACTTGATAATGGCTAACGCCGAAACCGGTCGTGACAGATCAGAAAAAAGAAGAACATATTTGGAAGAAAAGATACATAAATTTAACATGTTTTTCGGAATACAAAAACCACTAGAAAATAAGTAAACACGTTGCTGAATTGAAAGGAAAAAAAAGAAAAGTATCATCAGATGGAAATGCAAAAAATAAATTTAAAAAAGTCATGCGTAGGTAGTAATTGGCAGAGCTCGTAACATAGTAATAACATATTGCATGCATAGATTATTAATATTCCTAATAACGTAAAAAAAAACAAAAAAAAAATTAGTTGTAGTCTTATAATACGTTTCTCATTTTAGTCATACAGAAATATCCTTGGGTCATTAATCCTTTCTCCTTCCCTATCCTAATTCTAATCCTTTCCCGGTGGATGATGTCTATCACCTTCTCGTGGTGTCCGCCGAGTAGGATCAGATATTACATAATGTAATTTCCGTTGAAATTCTTTTTCTAATCATATTTGCAATATGCAAACCTACAAAATTTATATTACAATGGACACACATAATTTGTATTATCTGATTCTAGCCAAGAATAGACGTAATTTTGTTTTTGAAAAATTAAATAACCATATTTGTATATTACATTAAATTTGTGAGTGTATTGTAACTATTATAATGATATAAAATAAATGATATTAATAAAGTATTCAACACAAGTTTTATTGATTGAATTTTTTCATTTTTACGCTAAAAGACAAAACATTATTTTCTTCATACATTGAAAAATCAACTGCCCTTTTTTAACTGGTCTCTAAGAACTGTATTTCTTCTTATCTTAACAAGAAAGCATACTATAAAGCAACACAGTTTATNAGGAAAGAAGAGTTTAAATAAAAGGCAAAAGTGTAATTTTGTCAAATTGATAAAGATTTTTGCAGTCATTTCGTGAACTTATGCTGTCTTGATTCGGGTCGAAAGACAGTTATCGGTCGGAATTACCTCCTAACATTTCGCTAACACAAACGCCAAAACTTCAGAGGTCCTTCCAACTCCGACAGTCCACATCCAGCATGGAGTCTGGAGTTTTGTTTTCGTTATTTTAACTTTTTGGATATTTATGTTATTACAAAGAATTAAAGTGCATAAGCCATACATTATTTATTGGCTGATACTAAAATCCAACCTTTTAAGAAATGAACTTGTTAATTAGGGATTCTCAAAATGATACAAAATCGCGTATTTTCATGCATGGGATTACACTTCAGCTGGGAGTATTAAGAGTAAATTATACTCACAGGGATTCATTTTTATGGACCATAAAGTGTTTAACTGTCTCATGAAATGGACAATAAACTGCTTACTTATCTTCCTGTTACGACTTGTGAAAATAGGTGTCGTGTATCCACAAAAGTAGCAACAGCCCTTTCAAGAAAAACGTTTGAGATGAAAACAATACACTGTACCAAAAGAATGGACACTTTTACATGCAACTCGAATATACCAATTTCCAGTGAACACGAAAACAAAGGTTATGTATCATCATCATCATCATCATCATATCAGGTCATCAGTCCTAAGACTGGTTGGATACCTACCTTCACTCTTTCCTATCCTGAGATAATCTCCGTTTTTCCCTAAAATTAGATCATCCCACATCTTTAACTATTTGCGAACAGTAATCTAATCTAGGTCTACCTTTTCTCTTAAGTCCTGTTCTGCCTCTAATATGTCTCTGACTAGACCTTCATGTCTGAGAAGGTGTCCAACCAACTTGTTTAAAGCTATGTATAGTTACCAAATATTTATAGAAAAATCCGTACAGTTATTGCTTCAGGAGGAAGAATAACTGGTCATGAGTTTCAAATAGAGTAACTTGTTCTTCCAGTTGTAGAAACAACTGTTGAGTGAAGTAATAAGTATTATAAATTTTTCATTAAATATTTTGTACGTTAATGTGTTTCAGTTAAAATCAGTTCAAACCAATTGGTACCTACTTGTGAGTAGTCCTGCGTCTTAACAACAAATAATAACTAATCCTAGTAAAACTCGGCTATGTTTCTCTAACTTTTTTAATATTAACACAACAACAATAGTTTCTATCGAAAGCCATTATCAAGATTAACAATACTACTCTACAATAATAATAAAGTTTGTAAAAATGATGCCCAAGAGATACATTAGAAAAGTGTTATCACTGAACTAACTCGAATTTTTTGATTTATTTAAAACAACGTTGATGTCCGGACAGGAGCGTCTCACTTTAAAATAAATTTAATAAATGAAGATTTTGAGATTTCGGTTACTTTAGGACGATTTTCGGATAAACAGATGATATTTTCAGATAGATTTGGTATAAAAAGACAGAATATCGACAAAACAAACGTGTAATTCGTATAGTTAATACAATTTCTATCTCATGTTTTCTACGGAAAAACTCCAGAAAAAAATTATTTATTGTTATGGCGCGTATTTTAGTCAGGGGCTTGCATACTAGAATTTATTCAGAGTAGTCTAGCAACAGTAACACTTATGGGATTCCTTAGGCAAAGGACTCCTATTCAGGTCGGAACGGTAACGTATTTAAAAAGTATATGGGATTCCGGGACTTGTGCTGATCAACCCTATCGTAACGTTCTGTGTAATTCAATTTATTAGCATTATTCCCAACCGAGACATGAAAAGAGCCTTGCAAAGAAGATTCCGCACCACAATGCTGTTCGTGTGTTCGTGATTAATATATTACTTTACAAAATATCCAAAATAGATACCTTAGAGCCAAGGATACTAGAAAGGAGCAATAACAATAATTCCGAAGCGAATGGGTTTAAAAAACATTAAAAGAAGTAATAAAGACCAAAAAATGCTATCATCATTTTCGGTACTATCAGTAGTCAAATACATAATATCCTTGCCTACGCGCAAATCGGATGCGCACTGCCTTACTGCGCAATGGACGATCGAGAACAGCTGGCACCGTACATTAAATAAGTCACCCGATTTATTGTTTTCAGAAACTAAACTACAAAAAACTTCTTAACACATATTACGGCACTGGAATCCACAATAGATCTCAGACATTGACACACCCTGAAACGTTCCCCAAAAAAAGCTGAAACAAAATATCACTTTTTTATTTATGACATCACATGTTTGCGTTTGTGACAGTTTATCTATTATTTAAAAAGCCATTGGCGCTGAGAAAGGCGAATTGAAAGACGTCAAGTTGGAAATTTGAATGAACTTTGTATTGTCTCCCAGTTTTACGACACTAGATTTTTAAGGCTTACGACCGCCCCCGTCGTATAAAAAGGAAGAGACGGGGGTGAAATCCCGGCGAGCTTCGCTTTAATTTGATTTTCTGATACGTTGAGACAGCTTACATGAATCAGCTTGTCAAGTCTCGACATGCCCAGCCCAGACTGTGAGTTGGTCGTTAGTTTAGCACAACGTTTTGTTTTAATAACGCGCGCCCTATGAATCTATGAGAATAAATCTTGATCATAACTTCACCAAATTTCGTTCGTAAATTTATTATGCGAACGATGGAACGGGATGTTTTACATAATACAAGTTCATATTTAGTAAACTGTAAATTCAATTTTTATGCAAGACGGTACAAAAAAAAATTGAGATTAATGTTCTACTTTACACGGTGACGGTGTTCATATAATTCCTTTTACATTAAAATGTATGGCATATGTTTTGAGAACCGAGTGGAACTGACGTCAAATAAGTTTACTCATTATGTCATCATCATAAGGTCGTCAGTCCTAAGACTGGTTAGACACGCATTTCTACCCTTTCCTATCCTGAGCCAATCTTCGCATTCCCCTAAAACTAGAACTCCCACATTCTTAACTATTTGCGAGCAGCAATCTAATCCAGATCTACCTCTACTCCTCTTACTGCCTCTAATGTGTCTCTGACTGGAACTTCATGCCTGAGAAGGTGTCCTACCAACCCACCTCGTCTAATTCTTATTAACATTCACAGAATCCTATGTTCTCCTATTCTTTCTAATACATCCTCATTCATAGGTATAAATATCCGAAAATATGTATTGTTAGTACACTAAACACATAGGTATTATCATTCGCCAATTTGTGTCAAATCAATGGAAATGATAGCAACAAGTGTTTGCCAGTCCAGTAATCTAGCCTCGGTTGGATTTAGAAGTGTCTCAATTGAATCAAACTGACGTATGATAATTACCATACAGGTAGTAGAATTAGAGTAGGCAAACTCATCGGAAATGTGTTTCTTAAAAGAAACGAACAGAAACCAAAGAGTCCTCTACTGTAGTCCGAGCTCGTTTTGCTTTGATCATGCATGCTTTATATCCAACTATGTCGATCGATTAACAACCCCATTAAATAAAACCAGAGAAGGTTCCACTATTTTTCACCTTACAGCTCACCGGAGCATTCAAGGCAGCATGGGGCTTGCATACTGTAACTATATAATCTCCATAGAGAGTATTCATGTATTTAATGTCCACGAGGTTGATGCCTTATTAGTCAACTCCTTAGTATTGTAACTACTAAAATAATGACAGTTAAAAATGAAATGTCGAACTAAATACCACTTCAAGCAACTGTCATTTCATCTTGCCCTAATCCCTCTGCATGTCATTGTATGAAAAAATTGATATGGTGAAGTAAAAACTTCGTTCTTCACTTTTGAAAATCGAATTACTTTTAAAATTTACTGTTAAATGACATACATGAACTGGCTACCATGGTAAGATGCCTACCATTTAATTATTGCCCACGGCGCTCTTCCAATTCCAGCCTGAGTACTATCCTGCTACTAATTGTAATGTGTTCAATGGTACTGTTGATTTTCAAAATATGTAACATCTTATTCAGTAACAATTAAAAATAAATTGCAAAACCTAAATAATTGCTTACAGTTACCTTATTTGTTACACATTTTCAATAATATTCATTAAATTCAACTAGTGTTTTCAAGGACTTTTAATTAAATAATTATCATACAATACCTGAATATATTTTACCAACTTTATTTAACTTTATTCGGTACGAGATTATAGATTAATAGATATTTGTATGTTAAGTCAAAACAAATGTCAAAATTATGAAATGTTCTATAAAAGATCGAAGATTTTTGCTGCTTCATGGCATCATTTTAGCATTGATAATTGCGGGTTTAATAGTTGTTGTCCTCCTTACTAAGAAATAGCCCAATACCATAAATGGACATATACCTATTACGCAGTTTTGTAATTGTAAAATAGTCTCCATTTATTGAAATCAAAAGTAGGTAAAAGGTAATTTTAGGAATTTTTCGTAATATTTCCTTTAAGAAGTTAAATTTTTAGTACTTATTGTAATGTAATTTATTTAAAGACCATAAAATAAACTAATGCAAGATGAATGTGCTACAATTGGCGTTTTGTACCACATATCCATACGAGAATTAAGGAGTTCCTTTATTCTTAACGACTTTTAAATCCATCTAGATGCACTGATTTCAATCAAGCAGATGTAGGTAATGCTACCGTTCATTTGCAATACTGGAAACATTATATAATACTTTTCTTTTGAAGATTTGAATGCAACTGCTTTAAAATAATTAAATATACATAACGAATAGCTTACCGACCACAAATGCAAACAAGTTTTTAATCTCCGAGTCGTGGCCGCAAATGCTACTAAAATATGAAGGGTCGCAAATGTTCCCGTTGCATCCGCCCTGAAACCGAAATAAATTGCGTTTTCTCCTGTGCCAACAAAAATTTGTATTCCGTTTCGTTATTATTTTTGTTTTGCAATAAAGGCATTAATTAATATTTACTTTTTTTGAACTGTCCGAGTTTTACAGTAGGTGCAGAGGGTAATAAATTGGCAATTTCAATCAATCAAATAACTCATTGGTTTCTAATCATATCGCACATTAAAAGATATAAAATCGATCGTAAAACAATTCTCTCTGCGATGTATAACTGACAATTAATTGAACGTAAACAGTGGGATACCAACATTCAAAAGGTATAACCGTCGTAACCTACCCTTCTCTTAACAGTATGTTTGTGTGTCAGTTGACGAACTTTAAACTTAATTTTTTTCTTTTTGTCATATATTCTGTTAATATAAAGATTTATATTTGATTACCTGACTTCACCAAGCGACATGGCCTAGAGGTGTAAACCATTGCATAGCATTCGGGAGGACGCCGGTTCGATTCCGGGTCCGTCCGCCTTGGTCCAGGTTTTTCTGTGGTTTCCTTGGATTACTTAGGCAATTCTGGGACAATAATATTCCACAAATAATCTTTCATTCTCTTTTGTCTTTATTTCGTCTGTCTTGTATTTCTCACCCCAACCACCACCTACCCATTCCCACGATTCCTAAAAGGAGGCTGAAAAGGGCCTTCTGTCCTACGTTCCGGCGTAGTCCGGAGGGACTGTCCTCCCACCACCATTGGTGACTGATGGGAATGAAATACCCAAAAGTTTTTTTTACCTGACTTCAAATTTCTTGGACATAAACCGTTATCGATATGAATCAACCGCAGTTCTTCGGTCCAATTTACCAACTTTTTCAAGACTAGAGTTTGGTTAAGTGAGTTGAAACCAATGAGTTGTGTAGCTTTAATCGTATATTATTTTATCTATCGCCCTCTGTATTTATAATTATTTGATCATTAAAGTAGTCGTTATACTAGATTTAATAATGATCATTTGGAAATGAAAATAGGAATTGTTTCTATTCGTAACGGAACAGAAAAGTAGTTGCAAAAGTGGCATACTTAAAAGAACATACTTAAAGGAAATGTATGCATGTAGCTTAGTTAATGTTTTACTTCCAAAGTTGCATCAATTAATGGATGAGTTTAAGTACTAGGTAAGACTTTGTACGATAAGTTGGCGGAAACTTGTTTAATGTACCTGCAGTTATAATCACCCTGGTGAAACTTCGTTTACAACATAGTAATATTCAAGAAATGTATTATGTGCTTAAATCAATTTAAAAGGGTGAAATATGCAATAAATTAAAAAGTAAAAGAGTCATTTTATTTGAAAGCGTGACTCGAGTCGCTCATAGAGAGATCCTCATTTCGTACCCAGTCTCTGAACGAGAGACTCGAATCACTGAACGAGAGACTCGAATCTCTGAATAAGTGGTGTCTCGATAGACATGATTAAAATTTTCAAAAAAGTTCAACATATTTCAGAAATCCCAATCTTTCTACGAGAGACTCGAATCTCTGAATTAACAATTTTATCGTTCGAGTCTTTCATACAGAGACAGAGATCCATGAAAACACCTAGGTAATAACTGAGAAACTGTGAAAGACTGTGAGAGACACTCTCACAGACGCTGAAAGACTCTGAGATACTGGAAAGAGACTGAAAATTTTTGTCTAGGGTATCTATCTTTCACCAATAGAGCAGTAAGAATAAGTGTAGGTACATACGGGCATCGCCAGTGGACCAAAGGGGGCTGGAGCTTAGCTTTGTCAAACCCCCCCCCCTCTCGGAAAATTTTAATCAAATGGCAAGTCATTTATTGCCTGATTTCTAACTCTCTCAATCACTAGCAAATTAAATATTTAAAATTATAAGCTAGCACCTACCACTCAGTTAGTAAGTCAGTTATCAATCCTTTAAATAGAGATATCGAAGATTCAAGTCAATAATCAATCCAAAGAGAATAACTCAGGATTTTATGAAATATACTTAATAACTACGAAATTTATTCTCGGAACACTGACCATCGCTACGTGCTGCATTACAGGTTTTTCCCGTGGTGTAGCTACCCTAATTACCTTGCCGTCTAATTGCAATACCCCGTGCTACAAGTAAACAAATAACAACCTTCATCTTGTATTTAAAATTAACCAGTTACTAATATTTTTTAATTTTTTTTATTATTCCTATCTTTCCTCGCTATTTATAGTTCCTACTAAGCTCCGTTTCTATATTTTCTTAGTAGACTTTCTAATTTTTGTTTTTTTTTAACGTTCTTTTTCCATTTTTATTAATTTCTATCGTAGAACCACCGCTCTTTTTTGTAACCGCCTGTTTCCAAGCAGGCCCTGTCATTTCCTAGTTGTTTTTTTTTTTATATTTTCAGGCGAAAGTAATTTTAGAAATAAATTTGTTCTATCGTTACTTCATCGTCCTTCTTTTACTACCCCATCCACTACGTCTCCTCTTTACCCACTCTTACTGGTGCTGGGGTTGTATAAATAACCATGCAGACCTCAATACCAGCATCTTCGACATTCCACCCACCCGCGGCAACTAAGATAGAGATTACCATCGACCACCATTGCCTCCAATTTGTTTTTATGTTACATTCTCTTGCTCCAGCAGTGCAGTTGTCCCGCTACGCTTTGGGTAGATAAAGACAGTTTCTTAATCTATGTTACTATTAAGTACTTTCTTGTAGATTGTGATTTTGTCTAAATATATATACGTATTTTCTCTTGTTATCCTTTTGTAAATATTCTTCTTCGTCATCACTTAGTTTATAAATTACTGTTTGAATCTATTACCGTTAGTTTCTCATACATATTACGTTATCTGTTCGTCTTTTGATGTAATATGGTAGTTTTGTTATTGTTGTATTTTTATTATTAGTTAGGTCTTAATATTGCATTTCAATAATTCCATAGTTGGTTAAGATTAAGTTATGTGCGAATAAACATTTTAGAAAAAACAAGACCATGTCAAGGGAGATGAAGCCAATGATGCGCGGTGTTCGCTCTCCAGTCGCATTTTCTGTATTTACTCACCCTAATGGTTGCAAGTTCCCTTCCATTCCTGCTAATTCCGCAACTAAATAAGTACCTAAGTCAGCGTTTTTTTTATACAAAATCGCATTTACAAGGAAAACAAATATTAACCGAATGTCCACGAATTTGGCTAGTTTTCAACAAGATGATAAAACATAAAATGGATATATACAGTGTAAACTCTATATAACGACATTAAGGGACTGAACATTTTTCGGAGTTATAAACAGTGGTCGTTAAATGGAGAGAAATAAAAAATATTATTTTACTATTCTGTAATAATATGCATTTACCAATATAGTACACATTTTGCACACGAATATTATTATTCATAGATTGCGTATAGCTGCTCAAATATTTTAATTGTATTTTGTTACTTATCTTACTCATATCTTGAGATACCGCTGGATCAATTTGATTATATAAAAAGTATTTTTTTAATAGTTTCGCTGCATCAAGTGCTTGTTTGATGCTTGGTGGAGGGACAGGATCGTCTTCTTCAACAACGTACACAGCTGATGTTATTATCTATTTCGGCAACTTAGAAAGTACTGCTCAATGATTTATAATGCCGCATTGTTGTCGTTAAATAGAGTGAGCGTGACGCTATATAGAGTGTAATATTGTACAGAAAACAATGTAAACCAACCAAAGTCAAGCAATTTCGACGTTTTAAGGAGTTTGTCGTTGAATCGAGTGACGTTATAAAGAGTTTACACTGTATATGGTTGAGTAGGGCACGGCAAAATGTCCTCACCAGTCAGGTGTCGATGTTGTTGCGCTTCTTGCTATCACGAGGGTGCACAGGTGGCGCGCAAATATCGAATTTAACTTGTAAGCTGAATTAAATTACCATTCGTAATACGCCACCTCGCAGCTACCACTACAGGCCGGGAATTAGTTTATGTCGCATAAGCGGCAACTGTGCCACGAATATACATACATATGTATAAAGAGGTTTCGGTAGATCGTCCCAATCTCGTCCTTTCGTCATTCTGAAATATTCCAGACGCAGGCAGGCTGGAATGTGTTGCGCTGGATGTATTAACGCGAAGTAGTAGCAAAAGGAAACGATTCTATGACATGGAAAAGTCTTAGGTCATGGAGTGCTAATGCCTATCCCAAAAACATTGTAGTGCATGTCTGTTTCATAGATGGTGGATTTATTGTAGGTAGTTAACTTCAATGTATTGTTTTAGGCGTAAAATATTTTTTATGAAACTCTTTAAAAACAGATAAATTAATATTTTACATAAACATGTATACGTTCCGTGAAATTAAACATTTCCGTACTTATGGAAACCTAATTCATAAGAAATTGTTGCGGTATTCGTTACCGCCATTATAGGTTGTCAAGCACAAAACGGTTGCAGAATCATGCCTACTCGTCAAATCGAATGTGCCCTTTTAATGTCATGTACAACTCATTTCAAGGGGTTGAAGATATGCCCCTTCCTCTTTACCTAGATGCGCCCTGACAAAATACTAAATTCAATTCTATACTTCGTTTAGTTTCTCTAGCCATGTGACCTTTAGTTTGACCGGCGCAAAGTAGAAAAGAACAGCACTAGGCCAGAAAAGAAAGGAAACAACTCTCGGTCAAACTCTTAACCGGTGAAGAGCGTACAATTCGTACAGTACTGCACGGAAAAGTTGACCATTTTATCCACTAAAATTGCATTGCTCAAATGTGCTTTTATTGGTACCAATTACTACTGAAAATATGAAGTAGATGTTTGTTTATATTTGAAGACATATTAAAGGCGTTAACGCTTGTTTTCGATTCGCACTACTATTCGTGATTGAACAAAACTTTTGGCAGGTAGGTACTGTATGAAAAAGTATTTAATGAACAAGAGTCGAGAGTATAATGAACTTTTTACTCCCTACCTACGATTTTGCCAGCGAGCATCCAAGACATTGGAATGGGCACTTCGCTAGAGAAAGTAAACGAAGTATATTTTTCTCGTTGTCTTGATTCTCAAACCTGGTGTGTATTCATTCTATTCCCGCAGCTTTCCTCAAGGTCATCACTTGAACCATTTAAAACGAGTTGTAGTTTCTACTCCTCTCTATAGCCTTCTCGAATAACACTAAATTTCCTAATGGCACTTCCACCTATCAAAATTTAGAATAACGCTATGCACCTAACGAATGGACGTATATTATTAAGGGTGCATAACCACCGATAAAAACTACTTGATACGAGCGTAAGAACGTCAAGTTCTGCTGCGTTGGGCAGGAAGATTATTAGTTTTTACAACCATTCGCTTCCGATTGAAAGTTATTGTTCCCATGTCTAGTCTTCTTAGAGTATATACTCTAAGGCAAAATTGAAATTGAAGAAAGGCGGCATCGCGCCGTCAGCT